AAATACTTTCTCTGGGTCCAAAAACAATATTATTACATAACCGGAGTCTATGGATTCTGAAGTGTTGTTAAGGTAGTGTAGCTGGTAAGCCGTGCAGGAACGTCTATCAAGGAAACCATGTTGAGATGTGTTAAATAGGTTCAGGGCATTAAGGAACTCCATCAACCTTCTCTTGACTTATCTTTCAAACAGAATGGCGATGGTGGGTGTATGATGAATCGGTCGGTAATTGGTAAGCTTTTATTTGGAATCACATTGTTGGCGTTAGATGTTGAATGAGATTTTCCAATGATCAGGGGAATAACTAGTGAACAAGTTCAACAAAAGTTATGCTAACTTTGGTTCTCCCATTTTAATCGCAGTTAAAGGGATGCCGTCGAAGTCCAACCTGAGAGATGGTTTGATGGTTTTCATTAGCTGCTGAATACTGCTGAGAAAAATTTCGACACTACTTAGACTTTTGGTTGTAGCGGATTGAGAGCATTCAGGTATTGGGTCAGATTTAAAAATCAAGGAGACTTCAAAGAAGGCATTTAACGCCTCACAAATAGCAAGTGGATCACTCAAAGATTTGCCATGTTCATGCAAATGTCCCGTGAAAGGAGGGTGGGCCGTATTCTAGCACTGGTCTTATAATGTTGGAGAAGAGGCGAGTGGCAACCTCTTGAAAACAGATACCTTTGAGCACCCAGAGCATCCACAGTCCGTTGCGATATAGCCTGTTCGTGTTGTCAACGGACTTCAAGTAGCAACGTGAGAGTACCCCTGGGTCCTTCACTGTAGGTGCGGAAGTAGCATTTGGCCGTCGAGTCTGTAGCTTCGGCCGTCACCAACCTTCCTCAGGCTCATGAATACCGACTTGGATGGGTTGACCGGGAGGCGGACTTCAGCAGATCACACGGAAAGGCCGTTTAGGTCTCGGTGAAGTAAGCCGCAGTCGTCGAATGTACCTATCACACACCATATCTTCAAGTCGTCTGCAAACACAGCACACGGTAACCGAAGAAGTTTAGGTAGGTCGTTGACATAAGTCAGGAACAATGTAGGTTCAAGCACCGTGCCTTGGGGTGCGCCACTGGTCGACGGATACCAGTTGGTCAGGCAGCTATCGACTTGTACCCTCCACTTTCGTTCAACGCCAATGTCCTGGATTCCCTAGTGCACTGATCAACCGACACTGCACACTCTCAGCTTCAGGAGGAGGACCTCATGGTTTACCTTGTAGAAGGCGTTGCCAAAATCGATGTAGAGCACGTCGACAGGCTTCCCACGGTTCACTGCTTGTAACCATTCTTGTGTCGTCACGAGCTGGTTGGTGATGCATGAACGACCTGGCATAAAACCATGCTGTGCGGACGTCCCGATACGTTCGACCAGAACAGCTGTGGCAAACGCTACTTCACCATCTTCCAAGCCAACTTTGCAAAAATAGGTAACAAACAAATTGTCATGTAGTTGTCTACTTTGCTGAAGTCACTACCTTTCAGGATCAGCCTTACCACTGAGCATTTCCAATCAATTGACATGGAACCTTTGGACAGCGACCTGTTGAGCAGGCTGGCCAAATGATGACTGCTAAGGACCTGAGAATCAGGGGTTTAGCACATCAGGTCCAGCAGGTTTGGTGCTGTCCAATTTAGCGAGTAGTTAACGCATCTCTTCTACACCACAATCTAGACTGTCGAATTCGGTAGCAGCACAGCACGTCTTACTCTGTACGCACACCTAATCATTTACAAACACCGAAACGAATTGCGACGCCAAGGCGGACGCACGCTCCTTGCTGGCGGTTAAGTGCTGTCCGTTCGCGTTCTCCATCACTCGTGGGTCACCTGCATGCTCCAGGTGCCGCTTCAAGTACGCAAAGATTCTCTTCAGGGCGATCTTTGTGGTGGTTGCAAGCCGCTCCTCGAAAGATTAACCTTTGCTCGTGTTCTCATATGGTTGCAAATGTTTTACTGCTTGTTATATACCTCATAGTCGTCGTCCGAGCCAGAGATAAAGGGTTTGTCCCATAGCCGCTGTCGAACCAACTTACCACCTTCGTTGTCGAGCCAAGGTGGCTTGACCGGTCGGGGTGTCCGACACTTGAAAGACACAAACTGGTTACACAATGCGCTTACTCTATTTTTATAGTTAAACAGTAAGATACAACAGATGCGGACAGCGACAGAGAACAAGCCACTTGGCTCGCAGCTCGAGTCAGGCCGTTGAAACCAGTCTTCCATTAGTTATTAGCTGGAAACAGAGCGAGGGAGAGCTGCATGTTGGTACTACGAACTGAGTGATCGCTCACTGCCAGAGGCTTCAGGATTCAAATGTCATACATATGTTGTTCACAGTCTGTTAGCATTCAGTCTAAGCATGATGGAGTTGAGCCCGGTTGGCAGATGCATTTTGCTGCCGCAGTTGCAACTACCATTTCAGCGAACTTTGTTTCTGCCTTACAACATCCGAGGATAAGTTTAACTCTAGGCCAGCGTATTCGAAGACAACTGAAATTCCTTATGAGTAGAAAATGGGGATACTGCTATGATTCCGGATAGGCGGCATCTCATCCAAACAACGGCCCAGAGGACTGTGAGAAATTGCACTCACGAGTAGGTCTCCTCATCTGAGAGGGATCGAGCACCACAAATGCTCATATAGGCCTTATTCGCTTCGGTGGGCGCTAAAAATTCTCCCACACAGAAATTACCGGATGTAGAGCAAGACGCCACCTTGGGCATTCGATAGCCTATCACAACGGAAGCACGGATAGTCACTAAGCTCTACTTCCTGAGTGAGTATGTTCTCGTGCAACCACGTCTCTGGAAGTCCCAATACATCTGGTCGCTCGAAGGCAACGAAACGGTACAACTCATCGTGCTTGTTCATAAGACTGCAGACCTTGGTAAAGGTCAGATGCAGGCTGTGGTAGGAACTACCGGGCGTGAATGAAGAGTGAGCGACCGATGTAGCCGGATTCGCATTCGTGCTGTAACCATCCAAACATTTACAATACGTAGGTTTATTTCTCCATCGCCGTTTCGCCTTTTCAGCTTGATGATGGCACACGTTAGACATGATCGGACAGATTTGCGTCCTCTTTTCTCTCAGTCTACTCAGTCGACACAGTATTAGCTTCGCGTTCTATTCGTCGGCAATAGTTACCGACATAGGTCGGTCTTTCTCAGCAGTGTTTTTGCTGAAGGCGGATGACACCTCACTTTTACTCCGTCCTCACTTAAATCGAGGTGTTTAACAACTAGGTTCCATAAAATCTTACGTCATGACCATGACGTGTCTGAGGACTTGGATAATTGGACTCAGAAGCTTGCAACAGCAGTAGATTTGACCATCTTTTCTCGTTTGAAGCAGTTTCTGGGGGAGAAGGATGCACTCGAGCTTGGCTTGACCTAGAATGTCGTTGGTCAGGAGCAGAAAGCTTTTCTTCTTTTCGTGGCTTATTTCCTCTTTGAGTTTTTAATGGCTTCCCATCCATTAGACATTCCCCAGTGGATCATTAGCCTCAGCTGGTGTTGTGCTTGTGGAAATATTAGGATGTCAATGTAATGAAATGTCAGAGGGACGATAATAGGAAGGACTCTGGTTTGAACCTCGGATGGAATCTAGGCCATTTGCCGGACTATCACGTTTGGAATTACTCAGAGTGAAACATGTTAGGTCCATTTCGCATCAATACTGGTTATTTGTTTCCGTGCCTGCCTTATTTTGTGACAATCGCTGCACAAAAGTTGAGTGGAATCATGTTGAATGGAACGCAATGGGTGATAGAAATCTTTCGGACTGTCCAATGAAAGAACTATGAAAGATAGCACAGCAAGCAAAACCCATAAGGAAATATGCACGGCTTATTCACGGCATGTTTGCCGTGTCCAACAATTTCCGAACAGTAACCACAAAGCGATTTCATTGGGATTTGGAAAATTCACGTAAAACCTGAAGCAGGGGTTGCAAAATGAAAGGCTGAAATATTCAGAAGATATTCCATACAATATAAACCGCAGATTGCAGATTCAACAGCGAAACTGAAGCTTGCCGAAATTTTTACAAACTAATTCCACTGTTCCGATAAATCTACAAGCGAGTATCGTGACAAAGAAGCAAAGGAATAAGCAACCGGAAGTCGCTAAATATTGTCATCTTTGTGTGTGTGCCGGTCCTTGGGGTCATAGCAGAATATGTCGTGCAGCTGGACACCGAAGGTTTAGTGAATCCTGTGATATGCCGTCTCGTAATGTTGGTAAACTCGACGGCCTCAAGAACCGTATGGCTTGACCTAGGTCAGCCATTTTGGTAGAGTATTTTATTCCATTTGTTATATATGTATAAGCCTTGAAACAGACATAAAGTCCTGTGGTTAATAGTTAATGAGATGTGCTTTTTCCCGCGAATTTACTAACGGTACGAGAAATTCGGCTTAAATGAACCTGAGTCCCGGCTGAGATTTGAGTAGGCGATGGATATTTCGTAAGACAGTTGATTCCAGAGTGCAAGAAACGATCCATCAGCATCCATTTAAGTGCACTTTTGTTTTTTGCCAGCCGTGGCCGAAAGGATCATATGGCTGCTTCGTAATCCGGAGGTCACGGGTTCGAGCCCGTGTAGGGGACTCAGCGATCGTCGCAGGATCCTTAGCTCACGCGCGACCGAAAGTGGTTGCGTGACAGCAAAGCATCGGTACTGCACACCGTCGTACTACTGATATCTTTTTTCCTTTTTCTGCCTTGGCTTTACCTTTTGTGAATACATAGAGAGGAAAGCGTTATATGTCAGCCCATCAAGCTGAATATGCCCAGAACGTTAACCAAGGCGATGGGACATGATCAAAATTTCCCTTACTTTAAATTAGTCGTGACTCCGAATCATTAAGGCAGAAGTAGGATAGCGGGGAGGTGGTGGCTGCTTGTAGAACTGCCGTTCTTTACCTCTGCTCCTATTCTAACACCTTTTAACACCTTCCCGCACACCCACATCCATTTTGTTCTCCTTTTTAGAAGAGCTGAATGAGCAGTATCTGCAGCTGATCTGTCAAGCATATGAATCTCACTCACAGGAATGCATAGACATGGTGAAAGCCCTTCAGGTGAGTTTCCAGTCGATATGACAATTATAAGGTTAACGAAGGTGTATGTAAACGAGACAGCTGATAGATGAGACCGAGGATAAGGTGACACTAAAGACATATATGAATTGAGGGAGATTCATCGTACCCAGTTTCCAAATCAGATAGTCGTCCATATGCCCGGAAAAGCACTAGACTGCAATTTCAGCCCGTTGGGCATCGTCAGTAGTGTGCGTCTATCGGATCCATCAGGATTCGAACCCATGACCACCAGCGGCTTGAACCGCCACTCAGCAGCTTATGCCACTGGGCCAAGGAGGACAGCTTCTGACCGTCATGATCTACAAGCTAAATGCGATATACCGCGTCTTATCCTCCACTGCCACGTAAGTTACGAATGTTGCAGAGGACAGGGTTGGCCCCGAAAGACACGACGTCCACTAACAGTAGCAATGTACGACATAGCATTTTTAGAATCTGTCAGGGCGGCTATATTTTGATGCACTCATGAGTAGGGGATTTTAATGTAATTAAGGGAGGTTCATCCCAGCCAGTTTCCAAATCAGATAGTCGTCCATATGATGGATCGGATGGATGCGCACTACTGACGATGCCCAACAGGCTGAAACTGCAGTCTAGTGCTTTTCCAGGCATATGGACAACTATCTGCTTTGGAAACTGGCTGCGATGAACCTCCCTTAATTGCATCAAAATCTCCTACTCATGAGTACATCAATATATGAATTGGTTGAAAGTAAAGAAGCGGTGTTAGCAAAAATGCACTCGTAGTTTGTAATAGAGCCTAAATGTTTTCTATTAATTGTTTTCCATGTCTAATTTTTGTACTCCAAATGAATATGAGGCGCAAGGTATCTATCTTATTACAGGTTAAATTGGTGGAGAAAAAATACGCGGACACAATGGAAGCCGCAGGAAAGACTATCAAAAGTCAGTTGATTCCAACCTTAGGAAGATTACAAAGTCAATTTGAAGAAAACTTGAATTATCTGGACGTAAGTAACTCCGAACACATCATGCACTACTTCACTGGCAATCAAATTTGACGGTTCGTTCCCGTAGTCCTGAGAGCACTAGGGAACAACTAGTAAACAATGGCCACGAACGGGTGGGTTAGCTTGCATAGCGGTTTATAGCTCAATAATGTCGAGATAGCCCACCGAGAAACAAAACGAAGGTTGATCAGGGATCCAAAACCTGTTATTAAGGAACAAGGGGTCCTTTCATACTGTACACTAATTTGAATTACCTTTCCACTGTAGCCTTATTTCACTAACTGAATCCCGCCAGCCTTCCTTAAACGCATGGTCTTCATATGGTTTGATAAGGGTGAGCAAGGGATAAACCTAATCTCTGCTTTTCGCCTCGGCAGAAAACAAGTGGACCCAGCCAAGTTTCATCCTCTGTAAATCGTCTGTCAGGATGAAGAGGAATGCCAACGCATCATGAGATGGACCCCGCGCCTCTAGGGTGAGACCTTCTACAGTCTGAGAACCTGCCCGGAGGGCCCAGTCCGAATGAGGCAAGCTGTCTGCGACCTACGAACCCGCCGAGTAAATACAGAAACAGGTCTACACATGGTGGATATTCGAGTAGTCAGAAAAACTCAGAGAACTCGATGGAGGCTTATTCTCCTACTTGCAGGACCTCAAACATAAATAATGGATTAGGTGTAATACTCGCAAATGTGTGCAGTCTCAGAAACAAGCTAGATGAGATTCCACTTTTTAATAAATGAGAATATCCGTAGCTCGGGGTGTTTACGCGGATTTTGAGCGGTTCTCCGAGCTGAGTGTTTATTGTGCAGACGTTTCGTTGCCTGACTAGGCAACATCATCAGTGCGGTTTCAGGGGCCTGGTTCGCAGTGCCTCGTAAGCACTTTCAATGTCCAAGTGCTTATTGATCGAGTTCTGCTTTGCATGCCAGGCTTCAATGAACTCACGTGTTTGCCGACTTTTAGCCCTTCCGAGGATACTGACATGCTCTGTGTCGAATTGATGGTTCTCAGCATCCATATGCGCTGACATCAGGGAGTTCTGATCGTGGAGACGTATGGCAAGGCTGTGTTCGTGTAGCCTTGTGCGAAGCTTTCTCCCAGTCTGTCCCACGTAGTATTTGTCGCAGTTCCGGCAGCAGATCTTATAAATCACACCAGTTTCTTCCTCTTTGCTAAGTTTATCTTTCACTTTGAAGAGTTTACTGCGAATGGTTTCCGTTGGCTGGTGTGCAATTTTGACCTTTTCTGTAGCCAAAGTTGCACTCCAGCCAACGGAAACCATTCGCAGTAAATTCTTCAAAGTGAAAGATAAACTTAGCAAAGAGGAAGAAACTGGTGTGATTTATAAGATCTGCTGCCGGAACTGCGACAAATACTACGTGGGACAGACTGGAAGAAAGCTTCGCACAAGGCACACGAACACAGCCTTGCCATACGTCTCCACGATCAGAACTCCTTGATGTCAGCGCATATGGATGCTGAGAACCATCAATTCGACACAGAGCATGTCAGTATCCTCGGAAGGGCTAAAAGTCGGCAAACACGTGATTCATTGAAGCCTGGCATGCAAAGCAGAACTCGATCAATAAGCACTTGGACATTGAAAGCGCTTACGAGGCACTGCGAACCAGGCCCCTGAAACCGCACTGATGATGTTGCCTAGTCAGGCAACGAAACGTCTGCACAATACTCACTCAGCTCGGAGAACCGCTCAAAATCCGCATTCCACTCCTTAACTCTGAACAGCAACCGGACCTAATGGCGTTCACCGAAACCTAACATCCGAAGTATCTGACTCGGGGGTTCGTGTTTCAGGATATCAGGTGCTTCGATGCGATCGCTTTGGTAGCAGTTCTGGAGGCGCAGTAATCCTCCACTCAAAGAACTGCCTCATTGCACACATGGTCGAACTCGATTGTGAGGAGGATCATATGCCAGAAATGCTCTGGTTTCAATAACATGACGGATACCAATAGCTGATGGGCGGAGTGGTCTACAGAGCCTCTGCAGGACCTGGCTCACACTTATTACGCTACGTGCGAACCCACAGCAGAGGAACAAACTGTCTCCTAATGGGTAACTACAACGCCCCTGCATGATCTGGGACCTTCTTCACAGTGATCTCTCACTGGACTCCTTTGAAGTTGATCTCCTTGATACCGTTCACGAGTGCAAGCAGACACATGTCTTGACACCAACACGGATGGTCCCTGGTCAGTCACCAAACATTCTAGACCTGGTTCTCACCTCGGCCCCATCTGATGTCTCAGATCTAACGATCCTCCAACCTCTTGGGAAGAGTGATCACTGTACAGTATCCTTTCCGTGGACACGTCGCCTCACAATCTACGATCAGGAAACACTGTGTCGAAATTTCTGGCGCACTGACCAGCCCAGATTATGAACGGCTGCAAGTAACATGCACTGGAGTGTGCCGCAATCCTTGGAGCTTTATGGCGCATGGGAAGGCCTGAAATCTATGATGATGCGGCCCATTAAAGAGTTTGTCCCAAACTGCAAGAGCAGATCACCATCAAAAGGACTCCCATGAATTGATAAAGAAGTAAGATGCCTAATGAAAAAACGACGGAAACTATGGGACCATTTCAAGACCACAGGACTGACATCAAGCTACTTAGAGTACAAAACTGTCAGAAACCTATACACGCTGAGAAAACAAAACAAAGGACTACAATATGAACATGGATTGGTCATGGTATCCAAAAACTGTCTCAAAAAACTTTGTGTCTACCTGAAACGAAATGCCAAATAGTGTAGTGGAATCCCTGCTCTACCCTCTTCTAAGCAGGTACCGTTCTCCACGGCGATGACCAAAAAGCAAACCTACTGACTGCTCAATATTCCTCGGTCTACTCAGTGGAATCTCCGCTGCTCAAGAACTGTTTGCTTACATACTACTTCTCTATGGACCAAGTTGAAATTAACTCCGATGTAGGCACTAAGCTGCTCCTCGAACTGGACCAGAACTCCTCCCCAGGCCCGGATGGATTGTATCCCAGCTTCCTCAAAACGGTAGCTGAGTACGTCGCTGCCCCTCTCTGCCGTATTTCGGCAATCCCTCGAAGTCGGCAGGCTGGAAAGCAGGTACCATTCTGCCCAAATACAAGGGGGGAAAGCAACAAGAGCCAGCGAACTACCGGCCGATATGTCGGACATCAGTCGTAGGTAAAAACCATGGAAGTAATATTCAAGTGTGCCCTCCAGCTACAGTGTGTAAACCTAAACATCATCTCACCCGCTCAACACGGCTTCCGGCGAGCACATTCATGCATCTTACTGCTAGCTAAGTACACAGCCAGAAGTCATAGATGTCCGTAAACAGGTTGACGTAATATTCATTGATTTCGGTAAAGACTTTGATAAAGTGCTACACCTATGACTGTTACATAAACTCTATGGATATAGTATTACAGGAAATCTTCTCTCATAGATTGTCGATTTCTCAAGAGGTAGGACAATGCGCGTACAAGTGAATCAAAGCCACTCTGCGCCTGTGCCTATGACAAGTGGCGTTCCCCAAGGATCAGTGCTTGGACCAGAGCTCTTCAAACTGTACATTAACGATCTGCCGACTGCACTTCAAACCGACTGCTTGATCTACGCCGATGACCTCACACTGTGGTCAATAGTATCCAGTTTTGAGGATGCAGATAGAGTACAAGGGGCTCTAGACCAGCTACACGAATGATCCATCAAGTGCAAATTGCCAGTAAACCGAGATAAATGCCTTTATCTCCCAATGGGTATCGCTTTACCCGTACGGTACATAGCACTTTGGTGTGTTTCTCCTCAGGAATACCACTCACGAGAGAGTTATCGTGACTTCTGACCATAGAACGACGCAGCACATGTTGAAGAAGGTGACCACTGGAAGGAGACTGATGGATGCCTTAAGAAGATCATTCGCTCAAATGACTCCTGAGGTTTTTTGACCTTTGTTCACTTTGTACTACCGTCCAGCCTTAGAATATGGCCTACCAGCTATCAATCCGCTTTCAAAGTTTGAATGTGCTCTGCTGGAAAAGGTTCAGAGACGTGCTTCGAAAGGTGTTCTGGGGCTTTGTGATCTCCCGTACCCAATTTCGACTCCATCAGCTAAATTTGTTCTCTATGGAGCTTCGCCGTCGCCGCTCTGATCTCATCTACACTGGGCGAATCCGGCGAGGTGAGTTGCGACAATTCTGCCGGCCCAACACTGATTGTTCCACAATAGGTCACACGGGAAAACTATTTAAGCAAAGAAGACACAGAATTTGCATGGACGTCACCCTATCAACTAGAGTGGTAAATGATTGGAACGGCCTACCGGAAGAAATTGCAGACGTGCCATCCGAGGAAACTTTCAAGCGGCCACTAGACAAACATTCGCTGAGAATGCTGGAAGTTTGCGGCTGTCATTGCAATTGCGACGAACCCTCGAGGAACGTCGTAACTCAACGATACGCATCAAACCCAGTATGATACGGAACCGATGGGGCTGACTAGGGATTTCCCTCCTGCTCTCTACAACTCAATGAAATCAGTTATCTGGCTCAGATTACTTGTAAGCAGTGGGGGATGTATTAGGCTTTTGTGTAGATTTGTCGCAGTTAGACGCAGGCAGACAGTCACCACACATCCAGGAAAGCGCTAGCCGGCCGTTTCGTCCTATTGGGACTCGTCATTAGCGCGCACCCGCCGAATCCTGCCGGATTCGAACCCACGACCTTACTCTTGTTAGTCAGCGACTTATGCCACTGAGCCATGTGCGACGGCAGCGGACCGCTATGACTGATATCTAACTGCGATACAGCGCGGCTCATCATTCACTGTCTTGCATGTTATGCATGTGCAGAGAACAGGGCTGGCCCCGGAGCAATGACTTCCTTCGTAAGCCGCCACCACTCGAGGTGGCAAGTGTGCTGCTAAGGCGACTACTGATTATTTGTAAGTAGTAGGGGGATTTATTAGGCTTTTGTGTAGATTCATCGCAGTTA